GAACCTCCTCTACTAGAAAGCTGTGACACCAGAGGACCAGCAGAACCAAGAGCCAGAGCACAAAACAGAGCAGTGAGCTTCCATGCCATTGTTCTTTTAGAGCAAGTAAAGAGGTGTGACTTTGGGCAGGAGGCTTGTTTGCAGAGTGAGGTGCCTCCAGGCACTTAATTAGGGAGCTAGGCCAAGTGCCTTCAGGCTAAGGTTTATGGGAAGTAGTGTGTCCTGTGGCATTACCCTGGCAGAGAAAGGCCTGCCTGCTAGCATGGCTGAGGAGAGGTTGTCCTAACTAGAACAGCTGTGCCCTGCACATTTCGGACCCCAAATTGTACCCTAGAAAACCCTGTAACTGTCAGTATTGTGTCTGAGTTCTGCATGGCCAATGCAGTAAATTACCATACCCAGTTGACGAGAAAATGCTGTGGTGAGGGATGGTTGGTGTCTACTGTTTTTAACACAAGGCACACCACTTTCGAGATATTCTCCCAATAATGCATAACCCCACTCTAATGCTAAGAAAAATAATAAGACAAAATAACTTCATGCTAAATGGAGAAAAGACTGAAATTGTCAAAGATTTCATTTTGCTAGGATCCACAATTAACCCTCATGGAAGCGGTAGTTGAGAAACCAAAAGACATACTGTTGTTGTTGCTGTCAAGTGCTGTCGAGTCATGTCTGACCCATAGTGATTCTGTTGTACTGGGTTTCTGAGGAGCGGCTGGTGAGCTTGAACCACTGATCTTGTGGTTCAAACAAATTAGCAGTTCAGCGCATTAGCCCACAGCACTACACCACGACTCCAAAAGACATATTGCATTAGGCAAATCTGCACAAGACCTAATTAAAGTGTTCAAGAGCAAAGATAAGAAGTTTGAGGACTAATGTGCACCTGACCCAAGCCATGGTATTTTCAACAGCTTCATATGTATGTGAAAGTTGGATGATGAATAAGGGTGTTGACTGTACAAGAATTAATGCATGTGAGTTAGGGTGTCGGAGAAGAATATTAAAAGCTCCATGGTCTGCCAGAAGAACAAACAAATCTGCTGGCAGCAATGGGCTCCAGCATAACAACAATTGTGAGGACGGCACAGGACCCGGCAGTGTTTTGTCCTTTTGTGCATACAGTCACTATGAGTTGGAACCAATTCTATGGCACCTAATAACAACAATCATGAAAGACCAGAAAACACTGAGGAACTATCAAAGACTGGAAGAAACTAAGGAAATGTGCTAACTAAAGGAATGTGGAACCCTGGAACAGACCTTGGAACAAAAATGGACATTAATGAAAAACTAGAAAAATCCAAATAAGGCTTGAAGTTTAGTGTAAGTGGTGTACCAATGTTAATTTCTTAGTTTGAATAATTTTCCCACGGTAATGAAAGAAGTTAGCATTAGGGAAACTAGGTGACAGGTAACAGGAATTCTCTGGATTCGTTTCGCAATTCTCTGTAAGTAAAAAATTACCTGAAAATAAAAAGTTAACATAAAATTAGAACATTCATGAGACAATTTAGAATATGAATATAAACCAGATATTTAATAATATTAAGGAATCACTATTAATTTATCTGTGAAATGATTTTATATTACAAGTTTTAAAGTTATTATAAGACATCCTGGAACAGAAAAGGGACACTAGGTAAAAAAGAAAACGTGACTAAAGCAAATTTTAGTTAATTACAATATGTTAGTTCACTAATTGTGACATATGTACCATAACATGTTAATAGATAAAATATATGTGTTCATTCTTCTGGCAGTCCATGGCATATTCAATAATCTTTGCCAATACCACAATTAAAATGCATCTTTATGGAGTCTTCACAAATCCTAGCAAACTCAATTTTCAATATGATTATTGCTATCCTTTCCCATTTTAATTATGGTATTGGTGAAGACTACTGAATATACATACCACTGACTACCAGAAGAACCAACAAATCTGTCTGGAAAGAAGTAAAACCAGAATGTTCCTTAGAAGGAAGGATGGTGAGACTTCATCTCCCATACTTTGGACACATGTTATCAAGAGAGATGAGTCCCTGGAGAAAGACATCATGATTGGTAAAGTGGAGGGACAGCGAAAAAGAGGAAGACCCTCATAGAGAGGACTGACACACTGGCTACAACAACAAACTCAAACACAGGAAAGATTGTAAGGACGGCACATGACAGGGCAGTGTTTTGTTCTGTTGTACACAGGGTCAGTATGAGTCAGAACCAATTCAACAGCACTTAACAACAATAAGTGAAGAAAGCATAGGATTTGGAGTTAGGTGGGCCTGGATTTGAATCCTGGCTTTAGCACCGATTAGCTAAGTGATCAGCTAAGTTGTTGTTGGTAAGTGTCTTCAAGTCATCTCTGACTCACAGCAACCCTGTATAGGGTTTCCAAGGCTGTAAAATAAATCTTCAAGGGAGCAGAAAACTTCCTTTTTTGATCATCACCCTCAGTTTCCAGGCTAGTAAAATAAAAATGGCATAAACTATTTTTTTTAAATAGACAAATCAGTAGCTACCTTTGAGGTTGTAAGAAATTAGATACTCAAATAAAGAACCTAACAAAGTACTTGGCAATTATTATACGCACTTAGGAGTGTAGTGGCACTGTAGGTAAGTTAAGGACTGGACTGTTAACCACAAGGTCGGCAGTTTGAGCCCACTACCCACTCCTGCAAAGATTTAGTCTCAGAAACCACATACAAAGTCACTGTGAGTTGGAACTAACTCGACGGCACTTGACAGTAACAACAGGAGACTCTGAGTGATGCAAACAGACAAGCACTTGGTTACTAACTAAAAGACGGTCAGTTTCAAATCTACCCAGAGCAGAAATGGAGAAAAGTCTTTGTAGTCAACACTGGTAGGGTGACAATATTCAATAAATAGGATCTAACAGGATTACATATTCTTTAACAGTATGTTTAGTATGATATGGACCACACCTACACCCATGGGCCACAGGATTGGTGGTCTTACTGATACTAAGACAGACTGGTAATCTACTACCAAAAAGATCATAGCCAATGAGAAATCCTATCGAGTGCAGTTCCACTTTATACACATGGGCTCCCAGGAGTTGGAGCTGATTTGAGGGCATCTGTCTGTTCTTTGGTTTTTATTAAAAGCTCTAGCCCTTAATAATATTAATTTCTGCAGACAAAGCAAGACGTATTAAGTTGTTAAGTGCCAACGAGTCGGTTCCAACTCAGAGACCTTACAGAGCTTCTGAGGAAAGCTGGTGTTTATCCTACAGTGCCATACCATGACTGACTCCAAGATGTATTATGTTGTTGCTGTCAAGTGCTGTTGGGTCATTTCCAAATCACAGTGACCCAGTCAGTACAGGGTTTCTGAGGAGCAGCTGGTGGTTTGTAGTCCAGTGCTGATCCTACAGTGTCACCCACACCAGGACTCCATGATGTATTACAAGCATTCGGTAAACATGTGTGGAAGAAGTGGGCGGTACCTCACTTCACTGAGATTCCATGAAGTCCCTCAATACTCTACAAGTAGATAGGTGCTTAGAGTCAGGAAGCCTGAGATCTCTAAATCACCCATAAACAGAGTTGATTAACTGACCTATCAATCACTACTGTGCCTTATATTGAAATGGAACTTGTACTCTTGCTTTTGTCTCACAACTATCTCTGCTTTGAGGCTGTAAGTGCTCTAAGGGCAGAGATGTGATTATTTTTTACATATTCATGGCAATTCTTGTAAGGAAGAAATCTAACTTTTCCTTTTAAGCATGTCAATGGCATGAGATCCAGCTGTGTTGACAGCACAGAGCAAATACTAAATGAAGTGAAAATTAACACAGTTCACACCCTGTCAGGTCTTATTTAAATCACCAAGATTATAAAAACATTCCTGAACCCTGGCTCAAGTCTATTACTGATGCTCTGCCTGAGACTCCCCTAAACTTCTACTTTTTAGAACAATTTCTTGGCACCTGTTTAAGAATTTTAATTTGATTTAATGGGAAAGCATGAAGTTCTCATTTTGAGTTCTGTTCTTTTATATTTAATCTCCCATTAATGTGCTTGTCCTTATTTTACTTTTAGCAGCACTATAAAAACAGGTGACTCCAAACCATGTCTCCTTTCTCTTCAACAGAGATGGTACAGATTCAAGGGAGTTTCAAAAAGTCCCATTATCTTTTTTTTTAATGTTTTATTGTGAATTATGTGATAATTTACAAGGGAGAACATTAGCTCTACATTCATCCTATAAGTCCATTATCTTTAAATGTCATTTTTCCATTGTAAAGTGTCCCTGCCCCCAACCCCCCCCACAAAAAAAGGTGTCCTAGTACGGCAGTATAAGATAAAGCACCAGTCCGAAAGATGGATTTGAACCACAAGGTCAGCAGTTCAAACTCACCAGCCACTCCTTGGAAACCCTATACAAGGTTGCTATGAGTCAGAACTGACTCAACAGCGCTTAACTGCCTCCCCCACCCCCACAGCTCCCTACTTAGTAGGCAGGATGATTGTATGACCATAATTAGCAGAAGGGATGGGAACTGCCCAGATGGAGAAGTCTTTGTAAGTCAACAATGGTAGGGTGACAACATACATCAAAGTGTATCTATTCCTTGACAGTATGTTTAGTATGATATGGACCACAATCACACAGATACTTTCTAACAGGTTGCAACTGAATTCAGCTTGCTTGATGCTTACCATTGCCATTCTAATACACACTCTTTTACCTTCCTGTTCTTGGGAAACTTAGGGCTCTCACTTCTCTGGTTCCCATTTAAGGACCAAGATGTCTAGATTAGGAACCAAAACATTTCTCTAAATGTTAAAGGTTCACATGATACCTGGATATCAGAGGTGGGGCAGTTTTCTCATTCACATAAGCAAAGACTCCTACGCAATATGTTCAAAGACTAATGTACAAAGGCAGGGGACTGACCATACATTTTGATACTGTACAAGAGCATACCAAAGTTAGTTAAATAATCAGTAAAAGCACAGCCTTACCTGGAACCCTGGATCTCAAGAAGTAGAGAAACTTCCCATTCTTGGAATGCATGATGGCCCTCTTAATGAACTCTACCACGGACTGGCAGCGATCCTCAAACTTGGGGTGACACCACAGACTGAAGGTTCCTGCCATTGAAAACCGAAGAAGTAAAAACGCAAAACCTACTTTAGAAAGGTCTATGAGGCTGGTTTGAATACCTTAACAATTTGTGGATAAGCTGAGTCAGACCGAAGTCAGACACATTAACAGAAGAAAAATGTCTTTAATAAGACATTTTTATTAAGTAGTAAATTCAAGACATAAAAAAGATTTAAAAAAAAATCATGTCAAGTATAAATATTAATCCTTAAAACACAGACTCTAAGGCTTCCTATGGCGTCCTCGTATGGCACTGTAGGGTGAGTACTTGACTGCTAATCATAAGGCTGGCCATTCAAACCCACCAGCCACTCCTTGGAAATTCTATACATGGTTGCTATGAATTGGAATCTACTCGACAGAACTTAACAACAACAACAAGGTTTCCTATAAAGACCATAAGATCCTTAGTCTTCCAACCTGGAACTAAATCCTGCCCTACAGATCACCTTTCAGCTGGGTTTAGTCCCAGGTTTGAATAGACAGGTCTAGAAAGTGAACAATAACGTGAGGAGCATGCACTTCAGAACGGCAGCAGACCAAAAGGGCAGCATTTGTCCAGAAACCAAGTTCAGAAAGCAGGAAGGATCAGGAAAGATAGGCAAATGGAAATGAGAACTCAGGGATTAAGTGAGGAAGAGTGCTTTTACACTGAGGGGATTGCAACGAACGTCACACAAAAAAAATGTATATCTATTGTTGAATGGGAAACGAATTTGCTCTGTAAACTTTCAACCAAGCCATAATAAAATGGTAAAAAACAAACATAGTAAGGCTAAACAAAAAAAAAAAAGTAAGAAAAGATTCATAGCAAAAACATGTTTTAAATGACATCCACCTTATGATCTAGTCTTCAACTATTCATAGACTAGTCAAGGAACGACAGCAATAGCAGTTTTCTGAATCTCATTCATGTAAGTGTTAATAAGCAAAGAAAATTAAATTCTGAACCTTTCCTTCTTTAGATTCTAAACTCCCATAGCCCAACACATTACAACAAAGATGCTATTCCAAACTTTAGAGTCCCAAAGCCAAAAAGGAATCTGAATCTCTGTGACTTAAAACAACAGTAGCAGAAGGAAAAAAACAAAACAAAAAACTAAGCGCTAGATCCAAAGGAACCACCCACAAAAGATATACTAAAAAGGGATATACTAATTTGCTCAAGAGAACTACAGATTTGAGTCTCTAGTTACTCTTACAGTATCACTTAAAAACATGAAGACAAACGTTCCATTGCAAACTAGCAACTGAAAGATCCTCAGGCTTCTATTAAAAATTCTACTTATTCAAGGAAGAAAGGCCCCTTTGAATAAGTTAATTAGAGAGCTATTTGAAAGAGCGCTCATTTCTGGTATCTCATCTATCAGGAACCAAAAGGTCAAGCATTTTATTTATCATTCCCACGGCCAGTCACTTGTCATTTTTACAGGTTTATCAAAATACTTCACTCTGAAATGTTTGGTCTTGCATTTGTGTTTTTGTTTTTAGGAGCAGCAGGAAAATAGGCAATCCACTCCACAGTTATCTATTACATTTTTTCTTTCATATATTTCTCTATGGAAGAGGTGGAGCAGAACTAAATGACTACTTCTGCCTCACTAGAGAAGCAAATGCAAGCAAATCTAGTAAGCATGTGGCTGAAAGCAGGGAAGACACTGGGGTACCTGAGAAGAGCATGACAGAGACTCTTATTTGCCATGCAATCTCTCCTATAGCTCATTTAGGGCTGGACATAAGAAGGAAGTATGATGGATGGTAGGAGCAAATCCCTGATACTCCCCAAAGTTCTCTGTACTTTTTAAAGATTTGTAACATATGCAGGTATTTTGACAAAAGATGTATCATTACCAGTGACCATCAAAAGTTTCTGGTCCCAGTCAAATAGAGACAAAGAACAAAGTCAATCCAGGGAGCTGTGTTAAACAAGTCAGTATCACCGAACCACCAGAAAGGACAGGTAGACAGTCTGAAGCACACTGATTCAATTCTCAAGGTTCCAATAAATATTTACTAAGAGACTACACAAAGCAGACCAAAAGAGGAAATTATCTCCGTGATATCTGGCAGGAAAACCTAATTTGACTATCAGGCAAAGAAATTCAGCACCAAAACTACATTCTTTTCTCTCTGTACATGATTTGACAGAAAGCATAGGTCTTAGTTATTCAGTGCTGCTATAACAGAAATGGAGTCCTGGTGTGGTGCTGTAGGATAAGCACAAGGTTGCCACCAAACTCACCAGCCGCTCCCTCAGAAACCCTATACAGCGTCTCTATGAGATGGAACTGATTCGATGGCGCTTAACAACATAACAGAAATAGCACAGATGGGTGGTTTTAACAAACAAAATGATTTTCTCATAGTTTAGCAGCTAGAAGTCTGGATCCAGGGCACCAGCTCTAGGGAAAGCTTTCTCTCTGTACGACCTGGAAGAAGAGCCTTGACTCTTCTGCGCTTCTGCTCCTGCTGATTTTCATGTGGCTTGGCACAACTCTTCCACCATCTCTGCTTCTCTCTTTCTTTTGCTTGCTTGTTTAATCTCTTTTCGATTTCAAGATATTAATTTAAAACATATCCTACACTAAAAATGTCTCATTAACATTAAACCTATTCCCAAGTGGGATTATAACCACAGATACTGAGGCTAGGTTTTGCATCACTTATTTTGAGGTGACACAATTCAATGTATAATATTCTACCCTTTGGCCCTCCAAAATCCATGTTCTTCCAACATGCAAAATATTTACCCCATCACATCATTCCCAAAGTTGTAAATTAATCCCAAATTCACAATCTCTTTTTCCAACTCATCTAAATCAAATATGGGTGAGATTCTAGGCATATTCCATCCTGCAGCAAAATTCCCCTTCATCTGTGAACCTGTGATATCTGACTACAAGCCATCTAGTTCCAAAGTACAATGGTAGAACAATCACAAAGTAGGCATTTATATCACAAATGGGAGACACGGGGGGGGGGGGGGAGATAACAGGTAGCAAGTAAGTTCCAAACTCAGCAGAACAAGTTACATTAATGCTCAAGGCTGGAAAATAATTCTTTGTTCTCTGAGGCCATCTAGGCAATGGCCCTGCCCTCCAGACTCTGGGTATTGGTGGCTATACCCTCTGGATTCTGGGTGGAGGTCCCAGACCCTGGGCTTCAGCTCTGCATTCCAAACCCACTTGGATGGCAACTCTCAGCAATTCTGTTCCATTTGAGTGACCCCAACCCTTCTGCCCTAAGAGTAATTGTTCTTTGGTCCATGGACATGGCAACCCCATCCCCCTGGTACACCTTAATGAACCTAGTTGGCAAAAATCCAACTCTTTGAAAACTATCAACTGTGTCCCCACCCTTTGAAACTGCAAAGGCTCTGCTTTTTCCAACCGTTCTGATGATTTACAAGCTGCTCCAGGGATGATCCTTTACTTTTCTTGAAGGATAACAGATGTAACTACTTTGGTCTATTTCCTGTCTGTAGAACTCCAAAGAGGCATTCTTTCATTCTTTGTCTGGCCCTTTCAGTCTAAGCTGATGCGTTTTCTGCTGTGTTGCTATTAAATGCCATCGAGTCATATTCCAACCCATAGCAACCCTGTATAGGGTTTCCTAGGAGCGGCTGGTGAACTAGAACCACCAACCTTGCTGTTCAAACCAACTTTGAAGCCCAGCACATTAGTGTACAGCATCACACCAGGACTTACTGCTGTGGTAGTTGGTAAAATCCATCAGCCACAGGTTGTTCTCTTTAACAAAAGGTTGTGCAGTCAGATCCTTGGTGAACATTCTAAGACTGTGGTCCTTAGTTTGTACAACAGAATTTTCCAAATTTTAAAGTTCTCTTTTCATTTTGCATAGTTCATTTCTAAGTCCACCTCTTTCCTGTCATTTTATTATAAGTAGCAAAGAGAAACCACACAGCCCCTTTAAGATCTTGCTTAGTTAGCAATCCAGATATCCAAGTTCATCATTTACAACTCTACCTTCCACCAAACATTTAACATAATTTAAACAAATTCTTTGCCACTGCATAAAAAGCATTGACCTTCCTCCATTGTCCAATCATATGTTCATCAGTTTCTCTTAAAGCCTCAGCAAAAATATAGTTAACATCCACATTTCTAGCAACCTTCTGTTGCTTTGTGATACATGTAGTCTTTAAGCTAATATTTTCTCTATAGCTCTCTTCACTTCCTTCTGAACCCTCACCAGAATTGTCTTTGATCTCCAAAATTGTACCAACAGTCTCTTCAAGGCAATCTAAGCTTTAACTATTAGGCAACTTTACACACTTCCAGCCTTTACCTATTTCCAAATTCCAAAACTGCTTCCACATTTTAGGTCTCATTAGAGCAGCATCCCACTCTTCTGATACCAAGTTCTGTCTAAGTTATCTCATACAGAAATATCACAAGTGGTCTGTTTTAACAGAATAACAGTTTAGGAGGCTAGAAGTCCAAATTCAGGACAGCAGCTCTGTGGGCAGGCTTTCTCTCTCTGCTGGCTCTGAAGGAAGGTCCATGTCTCTTCTGACATGCCATTCTCATATGTTTTGGCATCTCTCTTTCCCCATCTGTTTCTTTCAAATTGCTTGTTTAATCTCTTTTATATCTCAAAAGAGATTTAAGGCACATTCTACACTAATTCTATTTCACTAACATAACAGAGAAAACCCATTCCCAAATGGGATTATAACTACAGAGGTTAGGATTTATAACACATACTTTTAGGGAATACAGTTCAATTTTAACAGTTATCTCTATATGGAAAGCTTAGTTATGAACACCACTTGCTTTTTTCTTCCTCTGATCAAGTACTTTTCACTGGTTCTGTTCTGGAAAGCCTCTCCAGCAAGTTTGTTCAGGGCTTCCTATTGAGAATACTTTAAAATGGAACCCTTATGCTGCCTCCCCTACTTCCTCCAACATTTCTTCCAGTGAATGAAATCAATGCATGTATTAACAATCGAGTATGAGATTTCTCTAATCATAAAGCTCCAATCCTTTAAATTTTTCCTGTGAGAAAGTTAGCAAAGGTAGAAAAGGTAAAGGAGGAAGAAAGAATGCTTTTTTCAAAAACACATCAAAATTCAAAGTTAAAAAAGGAGGGGGGCAGACAGTGACTACTTAAAACCTTTTATGTCACAAAAAAGCCATAAAAATGTTAACAGATGAGCAGACATCTACCATAGGATTAATAACCAGAATACCTAGAACTATACAATAACATGGGGGGGGGGGCCCCAAAAAGTAAGGATAATTCACAGATGAAGAAACACATATGAAAAGAGCTTAAACTCACTGAAATCCCAAAAATGTAAATTAAAACAAAAAATGATCAAATGTAGCATAAATTTAAAAGATTAATAATATCAACAGTTGGATAAGGGTATGCTGTGGCTCTGTAGGATAAGCACTGGACTGATCATTACAAGGTCAATGGTTCGAGCCCACCAACTACTCCATGGGAGAAAGGTTAGGTTTTCTGCTCCCGTAAAGATTTACAGTCTTAGAAATCCTATACACAGTCACTATGAGTCGGAACACTCCATGGCACACAACAGCAACAATAGGTAGGATAAAGGAGTGGATAAATAGTTAGTTTTATCCACTATTGGTGAGAATGTAATTAGTAGCATTTTAAAAGGGAAACTGACAATTATCAACAGATATATATATTCTTTTATACCCACATTATGTATAAGAAGACATAAACAAGGACATTCACTGTAACATTATTTATAAGAGAGAAAAACTGGAAAGAAATTTAAATGTTCATTGATAGCAGAAGAGTTTAATAATATTCATGTTATTTTGTAGTCATGAAAAAGAAAGAGGTAAGTTTAATGAGCTTAATAAACAAAGTTCTCCTAGAAACTTATCCTATCATACAATATGATCCTTTGTAAAACTGCACACACAGAGTTGTTTACATACACAAATGAAAGAAAAATGTCTAGAAGGATAAAAACCTAACTGGTAACAGCAGCTATCTCTGAGGTGGGGAATGAACTTGGTGGGATGACACAAAGGTACTTTTGTTTCTATTACCATGTACAGAACATATTCAAACAGCTATAGTACTTAAAAAGGAAAAAACACACCTGATTCAAATCCTCAATAAGGATCTGAAGTCTGACAAGCTCCTAAAGTCATTTTGTTGTTAAGTGCCACTGAGTCAGTTGCGACTCACAGTGACCCTGTAATAGGGTTTCGAGGAGTACCTGGTGAGCCTGAACCCCTGACCCTGCGGTTCAAACCGACCTGCCAGCCTAGTGCATTAACCCACAATGGCACAGCAGGACTCACTCAAATATCTGAAAGACTAAGGAAAGAGAGGCAACATACTCAGCTATAGGTCTCTTATCAGATCCCTGGGTACAGACAACCAAGGACCTAACTAATCTGCAAATGTCTAAAGAAGGAACTACATCTTCAGCTTTTTCTGTACTTTCCCACCTCTCCTATCCTTGCTCTTAGTTCAAGGTTCTCTTAATATAGGTTTATGATTCCCTGTTTACAATCCTGAAAACTTTAAATATTTGGCAACAAATCTACCCCAACCCTTTGGGAGACAGACACTTCAGGTCTTTAACTATCCCTTTCAGCATGACTATTTACATTGCCCTGCAGAAATTATCAATGTGATTTGAGTATTAGCTAATAGTCCAGGCTCAAAGGAGTGTGTTATATAATACATGGTACCCTTTCTAAAATGTAAACATTTCTCAATTATGAAACTTAATTTTCCCTGAGGATATCAGATAAGAAATTATGACCCTACTCAGCAACCCTGACTGGTATTTCTAATCAGGCTTTTAGAGGCCACTTTAGAGAACTCGCAAGGAGCCCTGGTGGCACCATGATAAAAGCTCTTGGCTACTAATCAATCAAAAGGCCTGTGAGTTAAATCCACCAACTTCACCAAAGAAGATGTGGTAGTACACTTCCATAAAGATTCCAACCTTGGAAACTCTACAGAGGCTGTTCTACTCTGTCCCATAGGCCACTCTGAGTGGGACTTCCTTTGGGGAAGCTCTAGCACTTCTTACCTCTATAGTGCTCCATTCTAGTGTGGTGGGTGATACCCTGTGATCGGAAACTGAGGCTCAGGATATAGCGAGGATCAGAGCTGTCTCGTACCAGGAAAGAACCATCTGGCTTCCCTTTCAACTTCATCTCTGCATCTTCCCAATTCATTGGGCCCCAATACCAGCCACACTATCAAAGACAAGAAATGGTTGAATAGTTAACAGAACAGATAAATGGCAATATATTCTGTACACTCTTATCTTACCAGAAGAGACTCAGCCATTCTCCAAACATTTCAAGAGGGAAAAGCAGCTGCAAGTAACTCAACCATGAGCAATGCTCATCAGGCTCACTAAACTTTTAGCCCTTGAAATCACAGAAGAATAACTCTGAAGTTTCATTACCAAGAACTAGGACAATTAATCTATCAAGCTCAGTTTTGAAATGTAAAAATTTCTCTACAAATTATCTTCATCGCATTTCAATTTAGTTTTTCAAATCCAGTGATATTATTTCTTCTATGGAATGAATAATAGCACCATACTGGTTTATCACTGTAAATACGGTGGCAAGGGGATTACTCTTCCTCTGAAAATAATAAAAGGATAGTCTGAGGGCAGAATCAGGAGGAGGGGAGGGGAGCTGCCAGTGGGCATCACCTACCTTCTCCAATTCTCGAAGGCTGGCGGCAAAGCTGCTTGAGTCAGGCCGGTAGAGGGGACATTGGAAGTGCTGGGGGGGCTGGCTGTGCAGGGATTCAGCTGCTCTGATGGGAGCAATCCGGGGAAAAGCATCTGCAGGGCAGGAGAGTGGGGGGGGAGTCATTGTTTCTCCTTATTGCTACCAACCACAGGCAGACCCTCCCCGCAAACAGAGATGCTATCTGAAGAGGGGCAAGGCATTAGAAGCTCAGCTGGAGAGGGTGAGAGCCAAAGCAGTGGGAAAGAGCTGAATGGGCTGGGACACAAAGCTGTGTGGGCTGGTGTGAGCTGTGAAGGATGGGTGGGGGCATTTAACCCCAGGAAAGGGATAGGGGAGCTGCTCACTAACCTGACTAAGGTGACTACTTCAGGGGCTTCACCAGCCTAGAGCGATTCCAACTTCTCCCACCTCGAGGTGAAGTGCCGGTAAAGCAGCCTTGGAAATAGTGACTTGCTTACTTGCCCAGGAAGAGTAACGATTTTGCCAGGCAAGTAGAAAAGTATGCTGATTTCATTCATTTTATTCCTTGGGTACTGGAGGCTGGCAAAGCAGGTATGGGCTACTAAATGTTTGGTACTTATTTACAAGGCTGCTGTAAATATGAAAAGCTTAGAAAAACCACAGAACTTTGAAAATCAGCTACATGTTAAACCCCCTCACTAGACTGAAATGAAGGTAATTTCTTAAGTGATTTCTACTCAAGGTTTGCAAAATAGTCTCAGCAGCAAAGACACAAAAAAATTCAACTGACTTCTACCCCTAACAAAAAACAAATTCACATAAAAAAAAAAAAAGACTTAGAAAAACCAGTTCTCAGCCTCTTTTCCAAGGAGTTCAAGCTTTCTCATAGTGCCAATATTTCCATATATCACTTCCTCCCATCTTTCAAAGACTTATCACTTTGCACTCCCAATTCTTGCAATTCTTGCCTCTAAGCTAAGCTAACCTGGGGCATGAGGTGGAGGAGGCGGAGGTAGGGGGAAGGACTGCAGGGAAGACCCCATCGGAGCCACAAGGACAGATGTAGGCAGCGTCCCACTGATATCATCTAGAAAAGAGAACAAAAGCAAGAGGTTCAGAAACATGAGCACAGGAGGAGCGAGGTGAAAGCAGGGGAGAGGGACAAAGATAATCAGGTGGCCGTCTGAAGCAAGATGGCCTGATCTTAACCATGTTTTTTTGCACAGAGGATAATAATCACTTTAATCTGCTTTGCTTTGCTTGGAAAGCATATCCCTAAAAGCAGCCTAGTAGCATACATTCGGAGTCTTGGTATGGTGCCATAGGATAAGCACTCAACCTCAAGGTCAGTTTGAACTGCAAGGCCAGTCGTTCAAACTCACCGACCGCTCCTTGAAAACCCTATACTATACAGCGTTGCTATGAGTCGGAATCGACTCACTGTCACTTAACAACAACAAGAAGTATACGTTCAAAGCAAGATTTAAAAACTAAATAAATCAACATACAGACGGTAAGTATTAGTATGCAGGTAAGAGATCTGATTAACTACTAAGGGAAATGATAAGGGTGCTGAGAGGAGGACAGGAAAAACTGAGTCATTATTAGAAGCCCTGAGCTGGTTTGGCTCCTGATGAAGAACAAAGGTCCCTAGAGCTCACCCTCCAACTGGGGTAGAGAGACAGAGAAAAGGAGACTATACCTAGGAGGCTGAGGCTTCTTCTCGGAGGAGGAGGGGGAGTTGGAGGATGTGGAGAGGTCAGGCCCCGCTGAGAAATGTCCACGTCCACAAGCGACACCGTTTCACCTGGGGATACATGGAATAAGCTTGTTCCAGAAGCCCCTTGATAAAGGCATAGGATAAAGGCAAAGAGAGCAAAGAGCAAGCAGGGGAGGCAAACAGCCCATGGCTCTCAAAAAACTCAAAAGCTAATGCTCCCCAGGGCTACATTCACCCCTCAACATCAGAGGAATCCATTTTAAATTCTGCCATTTCTTTGCCTTGTTTACTATAGGTTAGGGTTTCGTTAGGACAAAACATGGTATGGCAGAAGAAAAAGTCATCTAACTCTAGAACTGCAAGTGATTTTGAACAAGGCGTCTTCTTTATTCACATGGAACTCACACAATTCATTTTTACAGATTTGTATTCCAACTTCTGCTACAGAACAAGGCAAGTGGCTTGTTACAAGCCTAAAAGGAAAAGGACATGGAGCAACACTCTCTAATAGGTGAGGTTACCAAGGCTGAAAAATGTATTTATGATTCTCAAAGTGAGCTACATCCACAATCAGCCAGAACCAGGAAAGCTTAGAGGAAGCTTCTCAGTAGGGGTAGTGCATGGTTTTTCTTACTTCCCAGCATGTCATGCAGTTCTGTTCTCCTTACCACCCAATCTCATCTAACGCCCTCTCAACTTGCATCACCAGAAAGTAAGGGATATTTTATTAATATTTAAGTTGATAGCCAGGAATAGATATGTTTTGGCTGGTCTGATTCTCTAATTTGGTCTTAGGGTGTTATTTCCAACACCTTTTCCTTACTCAGGAGGCTGAATTAGACCTCTACCTAGTATTTTAATGCTTTTCAATTTATGAAAATGAGGTGAACCTAAATAAACAGTTGTGTTTTTAAATAAAGGTCTTGAACACTGAGATAAGGAGAAGTGCTCTAGAAATCATCAGTGAAAGCTCTAGGAAGCTGTTTAGTTAACTGAACGCCTAGCTTCCTAGAGCAATGCAATGACCCAGACATGTGGTTTCAGTGGTCACCTGTCCTGATCCAGGATCAGAGAGGTCTGGTTGTAGGTATGGCAGTTACATAAAGGATGCAACTGAAATGAGCTAAGGCAGTCTGAAACAATAACAATGAACATGAGGCTACAAATGTGGGTGGTCTTGACTTTAAGGAAGAAGCAATTGTTAACTAGAAAACATGCTGCCACAGGATAAGATTCTGTAATTCTAGGCTTGAGCTAAGAACAGAGACCTCCTTCTCCTCTAGTAGATGCCTGCTTCAGGCACCAACTCACTTGTTCTGACAGCTCATAAAAACAGTCCACCCAAGAATGGGGGTCTGACACTGTGTGCTGATCACTTTCCAAGAAATGTCCATTCCCAAATCGTTAATTCTTCTCTCTCTTTTTTTTTTCAACAGTAATGGTTTGTAATGGGCCAGCAGTTTGCTACAATAGGTGAACATCTCTGATTTTTTACATATGAATACTTTCATCCTACCATACATAAGAGGCTGCCAATTAATATAGCTAAAGAGCCACTGCTTCCACCAGCATCACTGGGTCTCTCTGTCCCTCTCTGCTTCTCCTGGCCTCTCTGCCTTGCTCTTCTTTTTTAAAAAATATTTTATTGTGAATTATGGGATAGTTTATATGGGAGAACATTAGCTTTACATTCATCCTATCATATATCATTTCATTGCCATGGTTACAATCCCCCTCCATGCATCATCAACCAACCAAAGGGTATACCCTGCAAGCCTGCACCACCCCCACCCCAAGTCGTCAGCACACAACCCCTCTCCCTTTCTGGGTCTAAAGTCCCCAGCTGCACCATTTCTCCATGTCATCGTCTCTGCCTCCATCTCTGGCGTCACTGTTTCTCTGAATAGGGTCCCGCTCTCTGCTCTTCTCTCTTGATGGTCCCAGGGACCTCCACTCCTGGACTGCAAAGTCAATCACTCCCCTTCTTGCTACAAAACGTCTACCTTTACATTTCCAACCCTCACAGTCAGTCCTGATAACAACTATTCAGTATTGTACCACAAGAGACCTATTCCCATCTCCTTTCATCAGCCCCACCCAGACAGATTGGATACTGCTCAATGGAGATTCTACTTTCCTCCACGTCCTCTGGATCTAGACTCTCTCTTGAAAGCTTGTAAGTTAGTCACTTCTTGCCTTTGTAGACCCCCTATTTTGGGTAGCCAATATCCAAGTTGCCCATCCCTGGCTACCCTGTGTATCGAGGAGGTGGGAATAATCCTTATTGTAAAGATTTGTTCCCTTTTTTGAGCTACTGCATCCATAGGTATAGGTCAAGTTCATCAAATTATATTAGATTACTCTTTTTTTAACTCTTCTTTCTTCTTCTAGTTGAGCTCTGATCATCCAGTCACTGAAGCCAGGTCAAGTGGGTATTATCTGCAAGTGTGGGTGTTCTTGTGCATTTGCCCTCGTTTCTTATCAGCTGGACACTTCACTCTCCACTCTAGTCCTCTGTGGCTTTGTCACTGACTCTGGGCCCAGCAGTCCCCAGGTCTTGCCATACTGCTGGCCAACCAGGTCTCCACCCAGGTTCACAGGAGTCTATTGAACGTGGTAGGACTTAGCTTACAACTTCATGGTTATTTTTCTCTCACGTCCCCTTATCAGTGACCAATGTGGACACCAGTCAGAGTGCATGTCTGCTTGCATATTCCCCTTGAGTCTTAGTTTTGGAAGGGGATTTGCCCTGAGGGGACCCGACCACTTGCCTTGATGTCTCCTGGGTGAGCAACTTGCTTGTTCTTCTAGTAATCAGTTGGACTGCCTATATTGTTTTGTATTTTTCCTGTCGGTCTTTTCAAGAAGTATCTTCAGTTCTTCTAGACGCTCCAGGCTGGTCTACTTGTCCTTTCAGAATTTCCCACCTAAGAAGATTCTGGATAGGGTTCAGGATTCCACCTATGGTCTTATGTAATGCAGAGGCTCCGCAGGAAGCCTCCTTCACTGAACACACGTAGCCCCATTTTAGATATTCCAATCAGTTACAGGCAAAAGACAGATTTACAAGCTTTCTATGGTGATATTTCTGGCTATTCCTTTCTCTCCCCCTCAAGTGTCTTTTTTATAAGAGTATGCCATCTTCTCCTATCTTTTGAGAGCAACATTATCCTAAAGGTTTTAGAACTGGATTTTTTTTTTTTACAAGGGCTCCTCAGCTCCTGAGGGGCGTGGCGTTCTGGCAGTGTGGTAAAGGCCCTTTCTTTTCTATTAGTCAAGCAGGAGAAACTTCATATTTGATAGGCATAATGCAAAGTCCCTTTCTCTGAACAAGTCCCCTATAAAACAAGCAGTTATCCATAGGGTACTCAACCTCCTTCCTGCTTTAGCAACTGTTTTCCCTACTCCAAGAAAACAGACTTAAATTAGACACAATGAAGAACTCTAACAGCTGCAAGAGCTGCTTGCCCCTAAAATGAGAAAGCGAGCTCATGTAATCCCCTTTACCCAAAGCTGTTAAAAATAGACCACCTAATCATGGACCAAGTTTATTAGATAATCCATCAACTCCTTTGGAAGCAGAGACATGAACTGCATGCCTTCAGGAGAATCTTTTATGCACTGTGATCCTATAAATTTATAATTCTGACTTTTAATTTATATGTGATGACCCTGAACTAAGCACTGCTTAACTGCTAAGGCCGCCTAATTATCAGCAAACAGTTTTTACCTCAAACTATACAGCATCCAAACTCAGGAATACATTCCACATCATAAAAATAGCCTCACCTCAAATCCAGCAAGTACAGAATATAGAAAATAACTGCAGACATGCCTCAAGCACCCTCTGCGATGCATCTGCAAGTGTGTTTCCTGACAGGTCTCAGAATACCTGTGCTTTCAGATGTCAGAAGAAAGAGAGATACCACCCTTACCTGTGAATAGGGGGCTGAAGGAGACCGGAGAAAAGGCACTTTGAGTTCTTGTCAACCTGGGTTTCCTAGGAGGAGAGAAAGAACACAGAAAGGGAGGGGGAGGGGGGAATGAACATGTATGAATGTAAATCACTACAACACTCAATTCCAGATGCACTGAAAAAAGAAAAAAAAGGAAGAAAACCCTAATCATTGTCAGCAACACTCTTGTAAAACAGCCTAAAATTTAAAGAGGGAGAATGAAATAATTATGGCAAGTCCTTAACCAGATTTGGCTACACAATGCACCAGCCTACAAAGCAATGAGAATTCCCTCTGCATCTTTCCATACCCAGTGCGTTATAAGAGTAAAACACCTAGAGTGGTAATTAACAAGTCCAATTCAAGAGGCAGGAAATAGGATGCAGAGCTGATTTTCATATGGGAGCCAAGAAAAAGGCTCTAGACATGAAGAGGCGCCAGTTCAGAACAACAGCTTCCCTCTGGGCCTACCTCTAACAGTAGGAGGTCCCAATGTGAAGCAGGGAATATATCTGGATTTGACAACAGCACCACAGGATGTACATGCAACCTTCAACCACTAAAACCTCTGCTTTCTGCACAAATGTCCCCAGCTATGAGTCCAATCCATCAACTAAGAAGAGGGCTCCCTCGTGTTCAGGGTTCTGCCTAATATCCAAAGATGGCCCCTTTCTCTACCTGAGCCCCCTCCAGACTGCTTGGTGCAGCTGCAGTGAACCAGCCTGAAAACCCAAATCTCCTGGGAAAAGTTACACCAAAAGGTAACTTTGCACCAATCTCAATTTGACCAAATTCAAAATCTTCTGTCAAAGCAATCAGTCAAATACAAACACTTACCTCTGGAGGGGCCTGAACAAAGAAACAGTTTGTTGCAGTGATGGGAAGGCTCTATACCTTGTTTGTGGCGGTGGTTATGACTGTATATGTTCACCAGAATTAACAGAACTGGATACCAAAAAAGGTGATTTTTTTTTTTTCCTGTATGTAAATTATACCATAATGGACCAGACTCAAAAAAGTGTTATCACCCCAGGATTCAGTGTCTAACTCTGGATGTTGTTATGTGTTGTCAAATCGCTTATGTCTCACACAGACCCTGTATAGCATTTCTGAGCAACAGCTGTTGAGTTTGAACTTCCAACCTTGCAGTTCAAATCAAGCTTGTAGTCAAGTGCTTATCCTACAGTGCCACATCAGGACTCTGGAGAGTGGCGTAAGGGGGGCTTTAAAAAGTTCGTGGAAAATGGGGAAACAAGGGAAGGATGTAGGCTGACTGTTGTTGCAGGGAAGGAATTGCAATCATTGAGATGAAACCAAGTGTAGGATTTACAGAATGTAAAACTGATGATCTTGTCTGTAAACCTTCACTCAATTCACAATAAAAAGTTAAAATAAATAAAAAGTTCATGGAAAAATGGAATTATAAGACAATGGGATTTTTCCACAAACTTTGTGAAGCTTCCCTGTTGTTGGCTCACTTACTTAAAAAAAAAAAAAAAATGCCCGCGACCAAAGGACTACATAAAACAAGCTCTATTAAACTGTCAACTGCACCAACAAACAAGGAGGGAGGGCAGGTGCAGAGGTAAACAAAGGAAAGAAAATCCAAAATGAAATCCTATTTAAAATCATTTGACTTTGAAAGATGTTTATGAATTTAGGCATTAATGCAGATGTCTGAGCCTCTCAGAATTTGTTTCAACCACAATTTCAAAATGAAGACCTTACTCAGGAATAGCTGAGATAAAAATGGTTGGTTTTTTGTCCAGACGTGTCCTCAAACGCCCTCTGCAACCTTCTCTGCTAGAACTTCTAACAAGGTCGCACACTGTGAATGCCCCCAACCCACGGATTACATAAAACAAGAAGCGACCACATAGTCTCTCTGTTTATAAAAGTTGCTATTGACAGTCTGCAGTTTAGTTCCACCACTTCACAGGGCTGGAATGGAAAGTTAATTCCAATGGACATGAACTTTAAGATGATTGGTGAGCTTCCAAGCTGATTTTTATTTGATAACTTGTAGAACAACATTAAACTCAGCAAGTAGAAACCTACAGCACTGGCCTTTCAAAAGGTTCACACCTCAGCCATTTGGCCATTTGCCTCTTTTCAAAGGAAGCTGCATTACTCTGCCATCTGCCCATGCTGGGGATGAGGCTCTTTGGTGCCAAGCACTAAAGAACGGCAGTATCCAAATGCACACATCTTGCTGAGGCCTTCTCACTTCAGCTCATCTTCTCCCCCACCCTCAGCATTGTGAAGAAGAAAATCAGAGTTTCTAAGATTTAGAAAAAGAAATACATCTGAATCTAAATCCTGACAGAGCCATCTGAGAGCCCCAGGATGGATTTTCTTGGCATATCAGGAAGGGCTCACAGCTGGAAACTAAGGAAGGTGGAGGGTCTAGGAGGCTGAAAGGCTAATAATAATAATAAATACATGAGCTACCCTCTCTCTTCAGACAGATACTGCCTAACAACTAAAAACCCAAAGCCCTTTCACTTTCTGTCCTAAAGGATCCTGAGAGCATTCTAATGGCAGTCATCCATGAAAAGACCAATCCAGACAACCATAAAAATAAATAAATAAATAAATAAAAACCAAAGCAAGGGAATGATTAACAAAATTGAGGATTGTGGTAACCTGGGAGGGAGGAAGAAAAGGAGAATATAATAAAAAAGGAACATGCAGAGCTCTCCAAAGGTACTGACAACATTCTATTTGCTAGGTGCGTAAGTAATATTATTCATGGGTATCTATGTATGCATTTCATTATTTATACAGCATATTAACTTTACAGGAGTCCCTAGGTGGTGCAAACAGTTAAATGCTGGATTACTAGCAGAACTGTTGGCAGTTCAAATCCACCCAGAAGTGCCTTGCAAGACAGCCCTGAAGATCGGCTTCAGAAAGGTCACCGCCTTGAAAACCCTAAGGGCTAGTTAGTTCCACTCTGCACATATGGGGTTGTCACATGTCACAATCAACTGCAAAAAACAATATACTTCATGTATCATCTTTCGTACATGACATGTTTTAGAATGTTGTTTTTGGAGAGCAACATGAATGATAAAGGTCCTCGGGTTTGTAGTATTTTTAACCAACCCTTTGACACTAAATCCCCATGTTATTTTTATTCCTTCCCAGATCATCTTGACAAGTTTTAGGACGCAAAAGTTATGCCCAATATGCACAATCTTAAAAGATGACCTTCTTCTGGGTGCAGAAGAGAACACCAGCCTCTGGGAGGGGCTTGAACAGCAGTCCTAAAGAACTACACATGCATAACATCCTAGAATAAGTTTTGACATACTTCAGACATATTATTAGGAGGGACCATTCTCTGGAGGACATAATGCTTAGTAAAGTGGAGGGTCAGCAAAAAAAAGAGGAAAACTTCCAAAGAGATGGGTTGACATAGTGGCAACAACAATGGGCTCAAGTGTAACAAAAGTTATGAGGATGGCCGCCATGCAGGACTGGGTGGTTTCGTTCTGTTACGCATAGAGTTACTATGCGTTAGTACTAACAACCGGAGGCCTTTTTGTTGGAAACCATCCATCCTGAAGAAATGTTGCACATGTACCCAATTAGCATGGCCCCTTCTAAAGCCACTTTCCAGAAATCTCCACCGACCCCTATGAATAAACATGATGCCTTTTGCCACCTAAAACCTTTTCAAATCCTTTGTTCTAGGAGACAAGGGAGTGGAGTTAGCTTTGCCTAGGGCCCTCCTCGTCTCCTCTGGCCAGATGTTTCATCTCAATAAGTCTTTGCTCCTGTGAAAAAAAAGTTACAGCAGCTAATTCTCATCAGTGTAACTTTGTCAATGGGTCACTGGTATATTGGCAGCAGAAAGACTGAAGGGGTGGAGTAGGATTTGGTGGGCTATGCCTCAGGTGACAGAACAGGGTAGGGCAGAAGACCTTAGGTAAACTGTTCCCCACTGAGGCTGGCACTCCTTTTTGTCACCCTGCAAATTACTAATTCTATATCAAAAGAGCTATGGGGGAAAAAGGAGTTAAAAGCATTAGACTAGACAGATGACAACACATAGCTACAACCACTGGCCTATTTTCAAATTCCTTGAAAACCTAAAAAGTAGACAATGAAACAGTAAGGTCCTCCCTTTCTCTTGTCCATAAATCCCCTCTACTGATGTCTACTGACTTACACATTTCCTTTTCTAAGGAACTTCCATACTAGGATGTCCAAATACCAAGCTTTGTGGCCCCAATGTACCTCTCTGCCCCGTTATAGCACATAATGCCAAGTCAGCCAGCCTGTGCCATTTCCAACACATCATAAGCTAGTGTCTGTTCATGTACTACAGGCACAAAAACCATGTGTTCGTTTTTAGTTCCAATACACAGACATCTGTGCAGCAAGGGCAGATCCAAAACTCTATGATGAACCAACAGAAGAACCTTGGAGGGAACTTCCAGGGAAAAGCAAAAAAGCATAGTTTACAACCTTAGGAATAATGTTGGTGAGGTGAATTTTAAGATGTGAAAGGTATAAGACTCAATTGGACAAAGGGATATTTCTGAAGTCAGGAAGCTAATTCTAAAAGAGAGCTGCCAACTATAACCAATTCTTGGATAAATAGTTAAAAAGACCAATGGAAGATGGACCCCAAACCTAAAGCCAGCAGCTTCATCACCACATCATAAAATCACTTTACTTTGAGCAAGTCATCATGCTAAGACTCAAAAAAAACCCTCCTCCTTCAATCTAAAGGCCAAGGAAACAGTAAAAAGGGTTTCTCATGTCTGCCAGGTTTGTCCATGACAGCAGGGTCCCAAACTGATGCCAAGGAAGCCTGACTCTCTTTCCAGAATTGTATCTTTTTTCCAAACAAACAGATAGGAAACCACTACAGAACTGTTCTCCATTTCTCCACCTCACAACTAGACAGCCAGTAATAGTTTCAACTGTTAACTCAATAAAAAACAAAATCTTGAAAAATGCACAAGATACCAAACGTACATTGTGATGACTCTAAAAGGTAGGTCAGATCAACAGTTATTTCTCATCAAATCCAAAGGGAGGCAATCAGTTCAACATATGTGAAAACACATCAGGGTTTTCCTGAAGAGAAAATTACATATTACATCAAGGTCCACCAACTGAAGGCTAGTTCTCTGCATCCCAGCATATGTGTGTTATAAGGCCTAGCCCGGACCCTGAGAACTGAAACCTAATTAGCTACTGGGACCACTGCTTCCTTCACTTGAAGAGTTCTCTAAAATAACTCATACTACATTTAAGATTAAGTATTATCTAGGCAGGCCCAGTTAGCAGACTCAAAAGCATCTGAAAGGAACTAAATTCTGCTTACTATTCAAATAAGGCAATTGTTAAATCTTATGAAATGATTTAGGAAGCACTTTCTAGTGGATAGTTGTGGGAAAGGTAGATGTTGAGAGGAACAAAGCAAACCAATGATGCCTAGAGGTTACTGTAAAAGCCTCAAATTACATAGCAAAGACTGCAGACCCATAATTAACTCCAACCAACAATAAAGAAGAAAGCATATACCCTTTGGCAAAAGACTGAAATTTCTCACTGCTTTCAGGTCCTACCAATCAAAACAAGAGAATAAACTAAAAATCCAAATTCATCCTCCCTCCCAAGAGGGAGGACAAACTCAGAAAAGAGGTGCCAATCCACAGAAATCACAACTACCTTGGCCAGACTCACCAAGTTTCTCACAGTTGTGAAGCTGCCAGTTAAGACTGGCACATAGTAAGCTGTGGAAACCTAACAAGCAGCACCAAATCCTAAGCACTTAAAAAAAAGCTCAATCTTATAACTTCTCTAAAAAGCACAAAACACTCCATCTATGAGAGCAGGAACAAGACAGATCTCACTCTCCCATTTTACAGATGACAAAAAGGAAAGTTTGAAGAAAACAGTTGATCTACATCCCACAGCCAAGGTTGAGTGTTCTAAATGGAATGCAGACATTCACAGTCTCTATATAACATGCTGACTCCTAACAACAGTCAACCAAAAACGTTTATACGCAAATACCTAGCTCTTCTCCAATTCATCAGAAAAAGTCCCTGGACCAAAAAATGTAATTCTCCAGTGCCCTGAACTAAGCTTCTTTGCAGAGCTACAGCCCAATTTGCTCTGCAGCAGAAATCTGTATTGTGTTTAGTGTAAGGGTTGGTGACAGAGCAACCAATGACCATTAAATTCTGCTTCCAAAGGCAAAAAACCGTATAATGTTATATGCCTTTTCCTCTTCCTAATCTATTAAACGGAGCAGCTAATTTCACGCCACACCTCATATTTGGAGTCTTCAGAATCCTAGACCAAGTCCTGGTCAATATAGAATAAAGGCAAGACAAACCAAGAGAAAATTAGCAATCTAGCCCATGTTATCACCCACAACTTGAAGTCCATTCTACCCCCATCTGATGAAAATGTCATCACTACTGGTGAGTGGAGCATGGAATTCAGAGCCGACCACCAAAAAAGCTGTTTCAGCAACCATACGCTTTATAAGACTTAAGCTCCCTGCACGAGTTCACTGGGAGGCGAATGCAGAAACACTGGCCTATCTGAACAGGCAACATGTATCAACCTGATTCCTTCAGAGAATTTGAGTCTGAGGGGATACCCAAGATGAGCCCAGGCCACAGCTGTTCAGAAGGACCAGCAGAGGCAAACCAAGCCCATGCTTTCCTCTTGTACGATTCAAGCACCTTGAAAAGCAATAGTCCTGGATGAGTGGTTTCCAGCACAGGTCACATTTCTGGAGAAGATCAATGGGGGAGCTTTTTTTAAAAATTCTAATTCTTGGGCTCTAGAAATACTCATCTTTTCAAAAAGCTCACCAAATGATTCTAGTGCATAGTAAGGCTATCAATTTATTCTGTCTACCTGTTAGCCCTAGTTCATGGCTGCCAGTACATCTCAAGAATCTATCACACAAACTGCACCATAACCAATTCAAATCTTTCTAAGAACTCATCCAGAAGCACAAACCACAACGGCGGTTACAAAGGGAAGTCTCATCTCATCAACACAAAAGTTGACAGCTTTCTAAACCAACACCACAGATGTAACACTGGATGTCTGACAGCAGTAAACCCTTCAGGAACACAGGAAAACAAGCAACTCAATGTCTAAGTCTGGAATTTTTATCAACTGTCCTAGAACTAACATACTAATGTCTCCACCTTATGTGTTACGAATTGGGCTGCGAACTGCAAGGTCAGCAGTTCGAAACTACTAGCTGTTCCGTGGGAGAAAGATGAGGCTTTCTGCTACCGTAAAGATTTACAGCCTCGGAAACCCTGTACAGGGTCGCTATGAGTCGGAACCGACTCGACGGCACTTAACAACAACAACAACAAATACCTTATACTAAGGAGCTCTGGTAGTGAAGTGGTTACAACTCAGGCTGCTAACCTCAAGGTCGGCAGTTCAAAACTACCAGCCGTTCTGCAGGAGAAAGATGAGGCTTTCTGCTCCGGTAAAGATTTACAGGCTCGGAAACCCTGTGCAGGGTCACTATGAGTTGGAACCGACTCCACGGCATATAACAACAACATACCTTATACTTCTAATTCTTACATAGGCTTGAAAACAAACCTGTTCTCTATTCTCACAGGCACTGGTCAATATACTGGCTTGTGATAGATAAGCATGTCTGAACGAACAGCCAGAAATGCATTAAAACTAAGTAAAAATGCCCAACTGATTACTGGCCTACATACGTACAAGTTTATCACATCATTTGTGTGTGAGTGAAGGGGAGTGAGGTGTTGGTAGAGACAGAAACAAGAAGCAAGGTAGTTAGATGCGACACCAGCGTTTTGCCCCAAGGGCCAAACATTTCCAGACAAGGGGTAATGGCAGATCGCAATTGGGAAAACCAAAAGTACTAATAATTGGGGGGTGGGAGGGTGGCTCAAATTATCTCTGAACTCTAAAGATGATAGCCAGTTGACAAATTTCATGGGGTGTGAACTCCCTAAGAGTGAAAAGTGTCCCCCCAATTTCCCACCAGCTCGACTGGCTCTAATGGATTTGTCACCACCTTTAGCCCCAAGTCTCTGCCTCCTCCACCAGAAGACCAAATCTGAAGAACTGGCAGTGTTCGCAGTAGAAAAACGGGGAAATGAAACAAGAGAAGGAAGTTTATTCGCCAGGTCCCCCAATGGTCTCACCTCCCCGCGTCCAGCTCCCGGCCTGCAGAGCCACCCATGTCCGTCAGACTCGCAGCTGAAGCAGCCAGCTCTCCAGAAGGCCTCTTGCCGGTCCCATCCCCACCGCCGGAGCCACCGTTGCAGCTCTTCGTGCGAAAGAGGCGACTGAGGCGGATTTTGAAGGAGCCTTTCCGAGAAGGGCCCGCGAGTGGCCGGAGGGGCCCAGGAGGCGGCGGGGGCGGGGGAGGTTGCTGCTGCGGCTCCCCCCGACTCAAGCGCCCTGGAAGGACTAAGTCCTGCAGCGGGAAGGGGATTGGCGGTAATTCGGGGCCTGGGGGCTGCAGCAGAAGCCGGCCGCCCCCTCCTCCTCCGCGGCCCGGGCTGCTGAGCTCCTCTTCCGAGCAGCTGTTAGTCTCCAGGCTCTCGGCCTCAGATTCCAAGCCTTCCAAGACCAGCAGTGCGTCGCTCGTTTCCGTGGGGTCCTCCCCTACCTGCGGGGCGGTAGCCGGCGGCAGAGGCTGCGGAGGGGCCGGCTGCGGGGGGCACGGGCACGGGCAGCAACCCCCACCGACCATCTTGACCCCCGACCCCTCCGGCTGTCCGAGCCCCAGAGCCGCCAACTGTGCCTCTAGTCCAGCCGCTGGGCCCCAGGTCCGCTCGAGCGCCAGCCCCGACGGCAGGGCCTTGAGATCCAGAGCACATCGGTGCCGGGGGCACAGTAGTTCCGAGGGTCCGGGCTCCGGGGCCGCCTCCGCGTCCTCCTCCTCTGGCGGCCGACCCACGTTGCGGAACACCATCAGCTGCGGCGGCCGAGAGCCCCGCGGACCTGGCCGCGCGAGGAAAGGTGGCGGCGGGGGGCCATGGCCCGGGGGCGGCGGCGGTGGGCCTGACTCGGGGGCCGCCTCTCCATAGCCGAGCAGGCGGCTCAGGACGCGGTACGAAGCGGCAGCCGCCGCCTCGCCATCCCGTAGCTCGGCCCCCTGCATCAGGGAGAGGGAGGGAGGGCGGGCGGCTGGGAGCCGGGCTGGGGTGGGGACTAGGCCGGGCCCCGCCGGAGCCCCGCCCGCCGCGGCCCCCGGAGCGACAGCGCTAACGGCCGCCGCGGCCTCTGCCTCATAGAGGGGGGCGGGGGGCGCGCGGAGCCCAGCGCGAGCCCAGGCCGCGCGCCGCCGCGGCCGCCGCGGTCCGCCCCCTCTCTTTCGTCACTTCCGGTAGGCTGTGCTCATGCCTTTTTACCTCCAGGGCGTGCTCGCACCAGCCTACACGGCGCGTAACGTTGCGCGCGACCTGGGCCGCTATTGGACAGGAGCTGCTTCTATGCCGGTTGCTGGTTCTTTTCTTGGACCCTTGCTTTTCACTTCCCGGGCGCTTATGCTCGGCCCACCCATCATAGTAAAGTGGAGCGGCCCTGGGAAAGCTGGTTTTGTGATGGGAGAGAGCCGCTGGCTTGGGGTATAACTCTGGTTCTGGTACAACCTATTCGCCTTGTGATATGTGACATTGGCCGAGTCATTTCTTTATTAATCTGTATCCCCTGCCCCCATTCACGGTAAGGAGCCATTGTACCGTAGTGGTTACGATTCGGGCTGCTAACCTCAAGGTCGGCAGTTCGAAACTACCAGCCGTTCATCGGGAGAAAGATGAAGCTTTCTGTTCCCGTAAAGATTTACAGCCTCGGAAACCTTGTGCAGCACTATGAGTCGGAACCGATTCTACCGTACTTAACAACCACCACCCCCGGTATCTTTCTTCAATGTAACCAAGAATAATGAATTCTAGACCCAGTCATGTGCTGATAATTTTTAACACTCGGGTCTCTGGTAGGGGAATGATACATAATGTATCAGAAATTTTACTGATATAAAGGCTGTGTAGTACACAATTTGGAGTCCTAGTGTGGCGCTGTGGGTTAATGCTCTGGACAGCAAAATCGGTTTGAACCTCAAAGTTGGTAGTTCAAGCTCACCAGCTGTTCCTTGGAATCCCTATACAGGGTCGCTATGACTGGGAACCGACTGGACGGCCCTTAACAACAACAATAAGTACACAATTTGGATTCCTGGTGTGGTGCTGCTGCTCCCTGGAAACCCTATACAGGGTCACTATGAGTTGGAACGGACGCAACAGCCCTTAACAACAACTAGGACTTAACAATAGTACACAATTTACAAATAAAAATAAAAAATTGCAATGGGGTACCACCGTATGGTTGCAATTGACCAAGGAGTCCAGGTGTGGCTGTAGCACTGGACTGTTAACCACAAGGTCAGTGGTTCAAACTCACTAGTCATTTCTTGGAAACCCTATTCAGGGTTGCAATAAATTGGCATTTACCAACATAGTTGCAACATGATTGTTGTTGTTGTTGTTCAGACTCATAGCGGCCCTGTATAGGGTTTCTGAGGAGCAGGCTGATTAGTTCCTCTATGTAAGAGGAAAATGGGGGGCGGGGGAGTCAATTAAGAACTGGGTTGTCAATGGTGGAAGTGACTTCATGGCTGAATCAGAAAACAGTGTTAAGTACTTGAGGAAAATTTCCTCAATTTTTATTCTATTCACAACATAACAGCTACACACATGATATGTTTAAATCTGAATTACTAACATTTTCACCATCCTTTTATTAAATTTAGATAATCAAAAAAGCAATAAAGCCTACATAAATTGTCTGATTTCAAACTAGCAATTGATCTTACTTAACACAGTTCTACCACCACTCCTCTGTCAGTTTGCTTACTGTGGTGGTTTGTGAGTTGCTGTGATTCTGGAAGCCATACCACAGGTATTTTAAATACCAGCAGGGTTACTTATGGTGGACAGGTTTCAGATGAGCTTCCAGACTAAGACAGACTAGAAAGAAGGAGTGACAAACTACTTCCGAATATTTAGTCACTGAACACCTTATGAAAAGCAGAGAAACACTGTCAGATATAGTGCTGGAAAATGAGCCCCTCAGGTTGGAAGGCACTCAAAATGCAACTGGGTTAGAGCTGCCTCCTCAAAGTAGAGTTGACCGTGATGATGCAAATAGACTAAAGCCTGTGGGAGTAAAGCCCTGGGCACCTTCATTTGCTGATGGGGTACAACTCAAAATGAAGAGAAACAGCTGTAAACATCCATTAATAATTAGAACATGAAATGTCCAAAATATGAATCTAGGAAAATTGGAAATAGTCAAAAATGAAATGGAATGCATAAACGTCGATAGCCTAGGCATTAGTGATCTGAAATGGACTGGTATTGGCCATTTTGAATCTGACAACCCCATGGTTTACTATGTTGGGAATGACAAATTGAAGAGGAATGGTGTTGCATTCATTGTCAAAAAGAACATATCAAGATCAGTCATGAGGCACAACGCTGTCTGTGATAGCCTAATATCTATGCACCTACAGGGAAGACCAGTAAATACCACTATTATTCAAATTTACACACCAACCACTAAAGCCAGTGAGGATGAAATAGAAGAATTATACCAACTTCTTCAATCTGAAATTGATCAAACATGCAATCAAGATGTGTTGATCATTAGTGCTGATTGGAATGCAAAGGTTGGGAGCAAAGAGGAAGGATCAGCCGTTGGAAAATGCTGGTGATAGAAATGATGCTGGAGATTATCACTTGATAGAATTCTGCAAAATCAATGATTTGTTCATTTTAAATGTCTTCTTTAGATAGCATAAGAGA